TGAGATGCCACCCCACCTACCTTCCTTGGATTTCATTTCGTTCCACACCTACCGTGCGTCTGGTCCCGTCTGGCTTTGTCTGGGATGCGGCATGGTCTGGTTGGCCTGAGGTCACAGGTTCCAGGGAACAGAGTCTGCCAGTGACATGTTCTCCCTGAGACATAGTCACAGTCTCCTCTCACTTCCCAGGGAGAGCGACATTACGGTCCTCCTCTGTGGTGAATGACTGAGTTCTTTGCAAAATCTAATCACAAATCTGAACAGGCAGTAAATGTGTTCCTGCTTCTATTTATAGAATTTCAAACTTTAAGCTAAAATGGGCATAGAAGCTGCTCTCAGAGAATCCAAACCATGAGCACCAAACGCTCCTGAGAGAGTTGGGTTCATCTCCGCTGGGGGGTCACATGCACCAGGAAGCAGATCAGAACCCTCCAGGGGACAGAGCAGACCAGCAGTACGTACAGAACCTCCCTCTGGCAGGTGGGTTGTGAGGGTCCCCCCCCACATTCTGTTCTCATCTCTGAGCCACACCTGGAAAGTGCTGCAGCCTCCTTGTGCCAGGGTTCCGCTGGCTGGGGCTGGAGCGGGTCCGAGGCTGCTAGGCCGAGAGGCAGGTCAAACAGCGAAGGACACTAGCCCAATATGACACTTTTGATATCGAGGCACAAGTGACATTGTGGATGCAGAGCTGGAGGGGCAACTGGACACAGTCCCTGCTCTTCAGGGGCTTGGGGCAGGGACAGAGAACAGAGAACTGTAAGTCTGTTCTCACTTTCACGTCCTCTCTGACCCCTGGGCTTCATGATGGGCAGCATAAGTACTTCCAGTTTTATGAAGCCCAACATGAGAACTAAAGTTTTGGGCACCAAGTCCCATGTTACTAAGGACTATGTCAACGTACACTTGGAATTGCAACACACACTCTCACACAGTTTGTTTTTAAAACATTAGGAGAGGGCCATAGAAGGCAGTGCTCTGACCTCTCCCCAGAAAGAAACAAATGTGTCTTCTCGGGGGTTCGGGTCTGTTTCACATCTTCATGATTCCCACCAGGAGGTGCAATACTATGCAGCTGTGAAAAAGAACTCTTACCATTTGCAACAGCATGGAGGAGCCTGGAGAGCATTATGCGAAGTGAAATAAGCCAGTCAGAGAAGGGCAAGTATTACACAATCTCACTCATATGGGGACTCTAATGAACAAAATAAACTGATGAACAAAATAGATCCAAAGACATAGAAGCACAGAACAGACTCTCAAACCTCAGAGGGAAGGTGGGATGGGGTGGTTGGGTAATGATATTATATGCATACTACTGTCCTGGTGCACGAATTCATGCACATTGAAAGGAAATTAATTAGAAGAAATATTTTAATATTGCTATTCACCTTTTCTTTATAATAGAAGCATCAACCAAATTCACGAGAGCTTCGTATATACCGCGCATGCGTGAGTCAACTTGACCTTTTATTTATATAGAATAAACTTGCTTCATTAGACCTGCTTTCTGATGTAGCTAAAACTTTTCCAGCCCAGTAAAGCACTCCAGCTTCTCAGGTAATTGTCAGCAACACAGCAGTAATTATCAACATGAAGCAGATTATTATTGTAGATCTCGCAGGGAGAACAAAGGTAACATATTTAACTGCAGCAGTGTCTGACTATATTCTGTGCAGTGAGAAAACATGAAGTCATTTTCAAGGTCCACCATTTCTTACTTCTTTTCAGTTGAGTCAAGTTTCTAAACTTCCTAAATTTCCATTTTCTGGCTAATGAAAAGAAAAGAAAATTCCACCGAGTCTCCTATGTACCTACTCCAGGACTTCTGTGAGGATCAAATGAGATGAGGCACGGGAAAATGCTTCACAGACATTGGGTTGAACTGTGAAATGTTTGCACCTGGCTATAAAGGAAGTCATGTTCCTGGGCTGAAGAAACTGCAAGGAGGTTAGTCGCTAGGGAGAGAAAGCCAGGCATTGCTACGTGACATTGTTACCTGGCACCCACTGTGGCTGTTTCCAGGCTGAGCTGGGCTGGGCCACATTTTGCGCCATGGGGTCTTGGCAGCATTGGCTGCAATTTGGTGTGGTGTCCCTCCGGGGTGGTGGCAGGGCCTATGTCCCACTTGGGGGAAGCCAAGTATTGGTTTGTCAGCACCAGGTCTGTGGTGCCATTTATCTTTAAACTAGTAGCCCAGTACACAAAATTCATGCACATTAAAAGGGAATCAATATTTTAATATTGCTATTTGCCCTTTCTATATAATAGAAATGTGAGAGATGAAAGGAAATTAGTAAAATGTATATGAAAATAATATATAAATTTATTAATAAATAAACAGTAACAAAAGGATATAACAACAACAGAGGCATGATATAAAAACGACAAAAACATAATATGAAAACAACAAAAACATGACATAAAAAACAACAAAAACACGATATAAAAACAACAGTGATGCAAACAATGACTGATAAATTGATTCAACTTATTCTAATCTCCCTGTACCCTACATTAAGAGTAAAAACACTTTCAGAGTGCTTGACTAATTTCCCTTGTGATGAACTATTTAGAACTTTAACTTTAACGTCACATGCTCTTTGAACTCTAAAGAAAGCAACATATAACTGACCATGTGCAAAAACAGGTTCATGTAGGAATATTCCTACTCTGTCTAGAGTTTGTCCTTGTGATTTATTAATAGTCATCGTAAGTGCTGACATCACGGGAAACTGTCGTCGAATCAATTTAAATGGGAGGCCAGTGTCAGATGGGGACAAATTAATTCTAGGAATCAGAACAGCCTCTCCCTCTGCAGATCCTATTAATACTTCAGCTTTGATAATGGTAGGTTGTAATCTTTTGATAATAAATCTGGTATCATTACAAAGACCCCGTTTACTATTGAGATTCGTCAATAGCATGATGATTACACCCACTTTCAATTTTAATTTATGACACGGCATTCCCGAAGGAGTAATACTATTCAGAAATTCGATGGGGAAATATTCCTTTGTTTCTTTGTTATGGGGTGGGGCCACAACATTAGTAACAAAGAAACAGAAATAAAACTTTATTGTTGGGAGCCGCTACAGTGTTTTGGACAGGTTCAAGCCTTGGACTGATGAGAGGGCACAGTCCTCTCATTGCCATGTGCAAGTCCCAGCTTGGAGGGCAGGGCCCTCCAGGCACAATTATAGCCAACAGCTATAGTTGTAAGCT